CAATAGGAAAAGGGGAAATGAAAGAAGTGTGAAGAAGGGGAGGGAAAGAAACAAAAAGCCACCATGAACGAATGGTTAGAAAAGCTGATGGAATTCACAGAGATGGCTAAATTGACTGTTTTGATAAAAGAAAAGAATATAAGTACTTTTATTTGGTATAGGTTTTAATCTAAATGAAATATTTCCTGGCTAAATCTTCCGGAGGAAGCAAAGACGGATCCTTTGCCCATTTTGTATTCATTCTAAGCAACTGTGTGTTCTATATTCTCTTAAGCAAAAACCCGATTTGGGAATTTTGGAGCCTTATCTGTCCATTCCTGACTAGCCAGAAAACCATATGGCATGACATTTGTTATCCCTACTGCCGAGTCCTATCTTGCCTCTATTTCAAATCACTGCTACCATACTACCCGACTTCCCTCCAAGCTAGCAGAGCTTAACAGATTTTATACATATTGAGATGTCTTTGAACAGCAACAAACCAAGGGAAAATATTACTTTAATACCACTATAGTTAGAGATGATTTATGGATGTCTGACTCATGCTTGGGATCAAGATGAAGGCAATGTCACTGGGACACAGCGGAAAAAAGAAACTGCCAGGGCATGTCTTTGCTACTTTTTTAAGTGCAAGTGAAAACTCCAGAAGTTATCCAATTACTCTTGTACCAATATGACAGCAAGGAAGTCAGGTTTTCTATCATCTCAGTAATGGCTGAGTAAAATTCAAAGAAATTGTGTCAATACTGGAAAAATGGACCAAGCCAGTTTCAGTAGAACACTCACTGGTTCAAATTTTCCCTCATAAAACAGGAAGTATACTAATTCCCCAAGGAATTAGATTGATAGTACAGTATTAGAATGCTAAAATGCATTAGACTCAACTATGTATGGAAAATATGACTGTCCAAAACATCTGTCAAAAAACTTTAAACAAAAAAGACATTTGAGGAGGGCATCGGTTGTGATACCTTGTGATATAATGTCCATGCAAATTTGCCTCAAGAATTGTCCCAAGTAAACCAAAGCCGTCTTCTTCTTCTTCTTCTTCTTCTTCTTCTTCTTCTTCTTCTTCTTCTTCTTCTTCTTCTTCTTCTTCTTCTTCTTCTTCTTCTTCTTCTTCTTCCTTCTTCTTCTTCTTCTTCTTCTTCTTCTTCTTCTTCTTCTTCTTCTTCTTCTTCTTCTTCTTCTTCTCCTCCTCCTCCTCCTCCTCCTTCTCCTTCTCCTTCTTCTTCTTCTTCTTCTTTTTCCTCTTCTTCTTCTTCTTCTTCCTCTTCCTCTCAGTAATATCCTTAATTTTTGTCTGGGCTACTTCACCCTCATACACACACCTTATTTTTTCCCACACCCTTTTTGAGAAGCAGGGTGAAAACCAGCTACTCTTTTATCATAATATATAAAGCTAGTTTAAACGACTGGATAAATTACTACTGAGTCACTCTGTGGTGAGGATCTGTGGTAAAATATTTTAACTTTTTTCAGATTCTGCCCTCCCAAACATGTTAGAAGAAAGATTTCTATTTATTTGTCTGTTTTCTGAACAAACAGATCGTGTACGTTTAGTGTTGCAGTTCTGTTTGCTGCTTTTTGGAATGAGATGCTAAAAATCTACCCATTATTCAACTTTTAAAGTTTTCCTACAACAGTATTTTGATCAATGTGTGCTTAATCTCTTATCTTGATTTCATTATTTATCTTGACTGTGGTAATTCTGTTCTATGTAGTCTAAATCTACCAGCTTGAAGCTTATCTGCTTTCATTGACTTTCTTAGTTGCTAATGAAAAAGTAAGGCTATAGTCCAGTACAGGCCTATTTGTGAATAAATTGTTTGAAATTGCGTGAAATAGCAAATAGACTATGCAGTTACACTGTGTACATTTATTTATTCCTAATAATAATTTCTTGGTATGCTACATAAAAAGACATCTGGCAGTCTTCATTTATTCTTATACTAGAATCTCTATTGCAAGGATCTTATACTCAGTTACTTTGATAGCTGCTGATGCTATAGTAATGAAATCTCAGAAGTGCAAGAAAAGGAGAAAAGCTAAAATGGCTTCACCAAGTGAAACTCACAAAATTATATTTTGCCGGGAAACCATTCTTCTTTTATATGGTCCAGTAGCATTCATCCAAAATGGCCCACAAAGGAAAAAATCTGTATCCATAAAGTGGCTTTAAATGGATTTGGATAAATGCAAATTCAATTTATATAAGTGTATTGATACAGGGCAACACAGAAGGGACCATTAATATAACTAAAACTAAAGTATAATGAAAATTCTGCTCTACTTCTTTTGAGAAAGAAAGGAGCAAGTTTTTAAATACGCATTTGCCTTAAAGTTCCAAATACAAGCTTGTCCTTATTGGGCATAAGATATTATATGGCTTTATTATTTAGTGAACAGAAATAGTTCTATTCCATCCCAATGTTATAATTAAAACTTCAGAATAAACTAGGACAAATTCAGGCCATTTAATAAGCTACCAAGAGCAACTTAGAAGAATTAGCCTGACTAGAAACCAGGAACCTATGAGTTCCAGTTACATCTTACATACAAGCCAGCTGGGTGACTTTGGGCCAGTCACTTTCTCTCAGTCCCAGGAATGAGGCAATGGCAAACTATTTAAAAAAAAACCTTGCCAAGAAAATTGCAGGGATTGTCCAGGCAGTTGCCAAGGGTCAACATTGATTCAAAGACACACACACATACAGAAGAGCAAATTGGGTTCAATTTTGGTGGTAAGTCAAGAATTACCTGTGCAGATAGACCAGCTTTGACCCTGCTGCCATTGTCATAACTGCCTTCTTGGTTTTTCTTTTTTTTTTTTCATAATAATTTTTTATTTTTCCAAACTCTCCCCATACATATACCGTGATATTTATCAGATGTTAATATACATTCTTTTTACATTCATATATAAGATACTTTTAATAAAATGAAATAAATACATACACATGACTTTTGGTGTTGCTTGCCCATTTCCCCCTTCACTGTATCTACACTCCTTCTTTCTCCCTTTCTTCTCTTCCCTACTTCCCTCTTCTTCCTCTCCTCTTCTCTTTCCTTCACCACTCTCCTCCCCTTTCTCCCCACTTCTCCTCTTCTCCTCCAACCTTCCTACTTCCTTCTCCCCTCCTTTACTCTTTTCTCTTTCCTTTCTTCCCTCTCATCCTTCAGATACAGTTCAGGGGTAATGTCTGAGCAACTCCTCTCTCCAAATTTCCCTATCTGTATTATATAATTTTCTCTTACATTAATACTTCTATTTATCTAACCTTCTCGGTATATACTTCTATAAATATTTATACAACCTCCAGTTATTCAATACTGTGTCGCCTGGGTCTCCCTCCTTATCTGCTCCTTCTTCTTCCATCTAAATTGATGTTAATTATGTTTTAATGCCTTCTTGGTTTTTCTGATTCCCACCATCACCACCACCTTCCAGGTTTGGCTGCCTTAGATTCCCCAATACAGAGCTCAGTCCTGTCCATCTGAAAGAAGCCCATCTTTAGATCTTTCGCAACAACTCAAACAGCCCATGGGCAGTAATGTTTCAATGTCAGAATCCACAAGTATTTTCCTCTGAAAGGCACAACAGGCTGATTAAAACACACATGCAAGTTTTTGTAGAACTTAAAAAAACAAAACACCTATGACAATTATTTGCTGTAATGAACAAAAAAGAATAAAGAAAGAAAGAAACCCTGCTTGCTTGAAACGTTTTTGTGTTTGGGGAGTATTAGACAGCCTCAGAAATTTTTCAACAGGCATTAATTTGAACAACTTTAAATATTATGACTATGTGCCTACGGCTTGGGACAGGCAACTTTGATGAAATTAAAGATAAACAAAAAAAGGACTCAAACCTCAGTTTCAGCTGACTCTAGCAATTAGGCACGCTAGCCCTCCAACCTTTAACCTCTCCCTGGAGGCATCTTTGAGTATAGCATAAACTTGGGTGGAGAAGGATAACCATGACCGAGGTATGGGGGGAGGGGCACCTACAATCATTAACTAGGAAGCAGCCCACAACTTGATGCAAGCAGTTGTCAGAGAACTCAGTGTTTGCTTGACCTACCTTAGAGACCAGTGATAGGCATTTGTCATCCTGACACCGGAGATGCCTACTTTGCATGCTCTCTCACTCATTTTAGTGCACTTTATTCCCACAAAACTGTGTGAAGGGTTGTGATTTGATTACTTATTATTTAAAGCCTGAATGTACACTTTTGCCAAAATAAAAATAAAAAAATGTTACCAGAACACAATTTATACTCCAGGCAGCATAATAATTTCCTTAACCTCAGCCTGATGTTCCAAAAGCCATGACTTCCAAGGAAAATGAGATGGGGAAGGTAGAGGAAAAGAGCAAGTTCAGATATATCTGCTTAAAATTACAGTTATAGTAATAATAATAATAAAAAAATGCCAAATCCAGTCTGAACATCTGGCTAACTGTGCAATGATCCATAATAATAATAATAATAATAATAATGGCATGAAACGGAATGGAGCCGAGGTGGCGCAACAGTTAGAGTGCAATACTGCAGGCCACTTTAGTTGACTGTGTTCAGCAGGTCAGCGGTTCAAATCTCACCGGCTCAAGGTTGACTCAGCCTTCCATCCTTCCGAGGTAGGTAAAATGAGGACCCAGATTGTTGGGGGCAATGTAAATATATATATACATTGCTTACTGGTGTACACCGCTTAGAGAGTGTTTGCACTTAAAGCGGTATATAAGTCTCATAAATAAATAAATAAATAAAATAAATAAATGGTTAACACGAGGTGACATTTCAAGAAGGGTCAAAAGCAGCCAATTTTTTAGCAGCAAAATTTTCCTGCTTCTTTTTGCCTCTTTTGTTTTGCAGCTTCTTGGAGGTTTAGCTGGAAAATGTGCTCCGATCCACAGTTGAGACACATTGCACAGAAGGTGTGCTGGTAGAACTCAAAAATATGTTAGCATAGTGAATTCATATGAAGACAGCAGTGGATTATTTATTTATTTAAGCTTTAATCGAATAACAAAATAAAGACACACAAAATCATAATGAAAGGAAAAAGAAAGGCATGCAGGACTTTTATTTAAGGCTGTGTATACATATATAAACTTAAGGCCTGCAATAAATGGCAATGCCACAGTATTTCATTATGATCACCCATGGCTAACAGAGTCAGCTGCACCAGTGGAAACCTTATTAATGTGTTATATAGTTCTTACTGTGATATTGTTCACTACTTTTTAATATTTTAATTCCTCCTGTAATCTGCTCAGATAATTTCAGTTCCTGGATGTATTTAAGATTTTTAAAAAGTACATAAATAAATCCACGGAATAACATTCTCGAAAAGGTGAGGAAGGAGCGGTAATCATTTATTTTAACATTGGTTGCCAGGAATCTCAGGGTAATGCGCACAACCTCACCCCCTTGTTATCCTTAGAGGGCTTTGATAAACTGAGTGGTTCTCCCAAAGTCATCCCATTTGCCTTATGGCTGAAGAAGTATTTAAACCCAGATTCAGTATCAAATATTTCAGGCACTGCCTCCTGCAGACAAGTGGAACTGATCCAACACTCCTTCATTAGCATCTCCAGTCCTTTGCAAAAATTTAAGAAACTTCTGTAACTGGTAATCCTTTGTAGTTCTTGTGGTCATGATAAAAAGAGAGCTGTCACAATCATGCATTGTCTTGATTTCCTTCCTTCCTTCCTTCCTTCCTTCCTTCCTTTCTTTTTCCTTCCTTCCTTTCTTTCTTTTTCATTCTCTCTTTCTCTTTCTTTCTTCTTACTTTTGCATTTGCCAGGTGTTGTGTAGTATTGAAAAAATGAATTTGTTGTCAAGAGGATAAGGAGCAAAATCACAATCGCTAGGCCATCTGAATGACTCTAGAAAAATACCAAATGAAGACCAAGTATTAGATCATGTCAAAAAAGTAGACACCCTAAGTAAACCAACCGCCAGTAGGAAGGCAACACCTCTGTTTTAGCCCATAATTGCATGGGAACCATTGATTACATTCAAAGTAGATTAGCTCCAACACAAATGGAAACCCAGGATTATGTCTACACATTCTAAAAGCTATATAGTAGTCCCAGCACATCTAGAGTGACCAGTTGAGGAAGGCTACCATAAAGATATATCTGTCACAGGAGGTATGGTCCTCCCTTGATGGTGTCAATACATTTCTTCAAAATATTAGCATGCTTTTTGGTACTTTTGCCTCTGGGAAAAAAAAAAACCTAGATGTTGGAGAGCTTCCTCCAGGCTCAAGAGATCTACAAAGGACAGTAAAGTGTCCTTTGGTAGAATTCCACACATGGAACCCAATAATTAGTATACACACAGTTGCAGAGACCAAGATAGTAAGATTAAAATATAATCTGAGAAGAAATTAAGGGCTTTGGGAAAGGGCCTTCCCCACCGCAGTCTGCCTGGAACATGGACACAGCACAGAAATTCTCTCCACTTAAACCCTCCACTTAAATTCTGCCCCAACCTAATTTTAGACAGCATGTGCAAGAAGTATGGAGAGGCATCTCTGAAACGGAACACCATCATGAGCTAGATACGTAGCTCCACTTTCTCTAATTTTTCACATGCGTCAAAGGCAAATACCTCTTATGCCAAGCTTTTGCCAGTTTGTTAAAAGCTACTGGCACTGTTAATGAATTCCCTAACAATAAATGACTGGCAATTAGAAGACTGGGTCAGAGAAGGAACAATGACTCACTGGAAGAACAAAAACCTCAGTCCCTCTTGACGTGCAACCCATGTATATCACTGCAGCATATATCTCCATGGCACTCTGAGAAATGGCTGGTTTTCACTGCACCATTAAGAAATTGGAAACAAAGCAGATACTTCGCACTGGTGTTTTAGCCCAAATTTAGATGCTGAATAATAAAGCAAGGTCCATCCAAACAAACAAAAAATGTCAGCACATTTTGGAAAACTAGAGTGCATACAATGAAAGCTGAAGCTACTGTCTCCCATAAAAAGTCATAGCCATGGAGCAGGCTATCATAAAATGTGACAAGAGACATGGGTTTAGACAACTTTAGACAAGGGCCAGGGTTCTGACAAATTTATTTAGTAAATCTGCTTTTAATCTGCAACACTATAAATCACACAGCTTAGTAAGAGAAAGAGGTGGTCAAAGGTCTTCTTGAGGTCATTCCATAAAATGCCTGTTGGCATCACACATTAACAAAATAATGGCAAACATAAGGCTTGAGTGAGAGCCAACATTTGCTTCACAATTGCAGAGTCCTCAAATTAGAACACCCAGAAAATATTAAATGCAATTACATATTTGGAAACGTATAGTCTTGGAAATATGATTCCAACACCTTAAATGTGGAAAGGGCAAATATTATTTTGCTCTTACAGACCAGCATCTAATCTGTGCTTCTATAGCTGAAACCATATTCCCATCCTGCCATATCCTAGACATAGACATCTAATTTGTATTTGCATCTCTAGCATCTGATGTTTGCCCTTCTGAAATCCCTAGCATTGCTTTTCTTCTACATTAACCATATGAAAAAGTGGAGTTGCCTTGCTGAAGTCTTTATTGCAACTAAAGTAAAATTTACAAGCAGCAATACTCTTCCACCAAATCATCTCTTTTTAATTCTTGGATCATATTATGCACCCACATCTATTGTCTGGCACTTGTCCTAATTTGGAATCAATTGTGACAATATCATAATGCTTCTATTTATAGTTCTGACTCCAGCAGTCCTTTGAACCTAGAATGAAGCCTTCCCAAAACTGAGATCCTTTCCATGTGTTAAACCACAATGCCCAGAATTCCTAGCCAAGCATGATCAATGACCATTTGGCTACGAATTTGAAGGCAGAAGGTCACCTCCCTTGGAGGGTGGTTATGGATGATTCCCAAATCCCATCTGGGACTTGACCTTCCCTTTAATACTTAGAGGGACAAATTTCATAATAGATTCAGAAGATTAATATTTCAGATACTTCAAAGAAGACCAAGGAGAGAAGGCAAAAAGCTCTGTAACTAAAAGCAGAATTAACGAATGAGAAAAAGCATTTGCAGGCTCCTGTTACATTACTTTATAACATATATAATATCACATGACCAGTAAATCATTAATAGGCCTGTCTGAATCCATTAACTAATTTTAACAGAGCTCTCAGTGCATTCAGATACTAAAGTTTTCATCAGTGATCTGGTATGCCGAACTAAATTGAACAAAGTATATATTCTCCATCATTTTTGTGTAGAGTAGCAAACACTTTAATGAAGCAAAAGCCATTTAGAACAGCCCAGGTTGAATCTAGTATTTTTCTTGCAGGACCAGACAAAGCTGTTTCTTTTGATTGGGGGTGCCAGGATGGTGATATTAGGAGCCTTCCAACATGTGCCACTTGAGACTCTTGGCTCATCCTATTTAACCATAGACCCCTTCGTACCATCTTTGACAATTTATCATACAAACAAGCTACAAAGAAAAGTACTTTGTGATTTGCTCTGAATATGATGCCAGGTGACAACTTGATAATCTTCTGGGTGGTTGAATATGCTCTGAAATGGGCGTATTGAAAACAAGGAAAAAAAAAGCTGGACTGTTTGAAAACACCGGCCTATTAATGTTATTCTGTCTTAATGCTAAGATACATTAACAACAGAAGCAGCCTGCAAGCACCAGTATTTCCTAGCATTCTTCTATATTACTGTTTCATCCAATCATTGAGAAAAATCAAAAAGTAGGCTTCTGTGTGAAATAGAACATTTTTAAAACTTAGCAAAATTGAAGTCAGAAGAAAAAGGTGTCCTTCCAAGACTAAAATAATTTTTGGAAGCGATAGAAGTGAGAATATTTGCAATTGGATGCCATAAATAGTTTCCAGTAAATACCAATTTGACTTAAATTTACCACACCCTATGAGAAATACTCTTTCAGCATTTGATCTTTGGAATCACAATGTACACTTCTAAGGTTTTTCAAAGAATGGGAAAGAGGTTATTGACCATATTCACATAATATGGTAGACAACATAATGTGATGTTGAAGAGCCAACCTATCCACCAAATGCATTTTGATAACACAACAAAGTATAGCTGATCATGATCGACCAGTTCCTCTATCAGTACCTTAGCAATAATGTTGGCTGGCATTTTGTTTGTGCAAAAATAAACCAACCCAAAATAGAATCAGAGCCTCTCTGTAGAGAGATGAACCAGAACGTGGGAACAATGGGACTCCAGCAAAATCAACTCTGCTTTAAAGATATGCTTGCATTCTGCCTCATTTTCCTGGAGAAATACTGGATATTTGAATATAACTTAGCCATTAGTCTGGATCAGAAAAAAATGGACACATTTGAGATTATGGATAACCAATAAGAAGTCATCTTAAAAGGCAATGGTTAAGACAGTTTAAGTTCACACAATAAGCCTAATTATAGTACGGACCAGTATGAGTTCATCAGGAAGCAAGGTCTTTTTAAAAAAAAAAACATTTATTTTTATGAGTGATTGGGATCAAGTGAAGACTCCAGCTGCTTGCCATCCTCATGTTCCAAGATAGGGAAAGCATACGAAAAATGCCTGTGTTGTTTAACTACAGTGAGATTTCATATAATATCTGGGAGTGAAAAGCTGCTTGCAACAGCTTCCAAGTGAAAAGCTGGTCAGAGCAAATTCCTTGCCTTGTGAGTTCACAATATGGTTAAATGGTTGTGATAGGTTGTTGGTGCTTTTGTCCATTTTATTTGCTTCTTGATCAGAATTCCATGCGCTCATTATGTATTCCCAAGCAAACTGCGAACTGGGCAGTGCCAATTACAAAGACAGTTTTGTAGAAGAATGACCAACCTATCACTCTTTTAAGTCAAAGGTAAGCAGCATCCAAGTTTGCTGGAGACAATGCCGGCAGACACACTGCTAGAAAACTAAACCGGAATAATTCATCCCAACACCTGCAAAGAGAATTTATTCATTTCAAAGTGGAATTTGGAATGAAAGTAGCTTCTTTAGTATATAAAACTAAAACAATTTATTAGCATTTCTACAAGTGCAATTCAGAACTAGAACTTATATATATTGCTAGAAAAAACTATTGCTGGAAAAATATGATCTCCTTTTGTTACAACCAAATGTAATATGTTTAATAGAAACCAGTAACAGTTTCTTCCTATTTTTGAGAAATGCAGTGGCAAAACGTACAAACAAGGATTCAAACCTGAGCTTATCTATTGTATGCCTGTTCTGCTAACAACATCTTGCCAGACTGACAGTGATGCCATATTGCAGATTATGCAGCAGGGCAGATTCACTTCAGCTTTTCGTTAGCGCCTTCCAATGTCATCAGGGTTTGATCAACTTAACGCAGTCTTTTAACAGAAGTGAGAAATGGGGATATTACATTATTTCATTTAGTAATGAGATGGCATCAAAATTAGTTATATCTGGCTGAGGATCAGGTACGTGAATGTTTTACGTTATTGTTTGTATTAACGCTATTGCCAACTTCCTTTATGATGGATTTTATAAATCAGTATTCTGACATATTCCAAGAATGAATGAATGGAACAATAAGAGCCTTAGTAAATTATCACTTCTTTGTCTAATTCTAAAAGTCTGCTATGAATGTTATAACTCACAAACGTAACAAATAATAATCCATTAAACATTTAGTTGGAATAGCATAATTCATTTCTTGAATTCCCAACTTGCTTTGTTTGTATCTAGATGGTGAATATCCCATTTACATAAAATGCCATGTATTCTATCACATTTCTTCCAAATTTCATTCTCTTGTGTTATTATTTCATTACTACAGTGACAATCTAAGTGGTCAACAAACAAAATCATGGACCTATCTCTGCTGCTAGCTTCAAGGTCTACCTATTG